TTCCTGACTTTAGTGCTCAATTCTATTTTTTAAATAAAAATGTGAATCTCTTTTGAAACTATGTCATCTTCAGAAGTAACACAATAAGTTATCTAAGAAACAATAAAATTTACTGTACAATTTCAATGCTAGCTGCTTAAATGCTAGCACTTCACTACAGTTGAAGACACTCAACTAGAGGTAAACAAAAACTCAGACCATTAAATCTACAACGAATTAGTCAAGTTTCACATGAGTTGAAGGTATAGATTCCACTTAAATTATGAGTTGCTTCCTCCATAAAATGTGACTCCTTCAACATACTCGTTTCTTGAAATCTGAAACTATGAGGTTGAAATACAACTATCAGTTTTACGCAAATCCAGGAAGAAAGAAAAATTGTCAGACTTTGCATGGCTGCAGCAACTACTTTTTCTGCTTTTCTATATCGAAATGGGCTGTATCTGTCATTTGCATAAGGAGGGAATAAGTATAGAATCCTGGGTAATTAATTACCTTTAGAGTTTCAAATATGTGCATCATTAAATATACATCTTTTATATTATTTCACATATCTACACTAGAAAGAGGCATTAATATAAACTTTAGTTTTTTAACAAGTTTTCCTTGGATTAACCCTGTTTAATTAAAAATCATACTTCTATGTTCTATAAAGAAAATTGACAGTTAAGAAACCAACTATTCTAAAGAAATGATTTTTTAATCTATAACTTTAAAAAATTTAAATACCTTTTAGTCTGTACTTATGACCTTAACTAATGAGGAAGCTGGCAAGTAGTTGGTTTTAGGGAAGATGGTGAGGAGTTTGAGATACTGGCAAATCATCCAGGTGGAGAAGTTCCATGCAGATACGAGGTCACAGGGAAAATAACTTAGAAACTCAAGGACACATTTACTGACCTCCTCTACTATCTACAAGGAAGTGTTCTAGAATCTAAACAGAAAGGAAAATAAAGGCAATCTTTGGACAGAACCTTGAAGAATGAATCAATTTAGGAAGGAGGCAAACCTGTAGAAGAGAAAGCTGTTGAAAATGAGAGAAAGAATGACAATGGTGCAGTGCTTTGAAAGCCACAGTAGCAGAGATCAATGGTCCTCAATTGAGCCAAAGATGTGGGGATTTAGAGAAAGCCAGAGGCCAAGAAGGGTGATCATACATTTAACCACTTTTAATGAATTAAAAAATGCTTTTTTTTCCCAAGCAGATACTAATCAACATGGTTTACAAAATACGTCGTTTTAAACACACACCCACATACAAACACTTTCAAATATTATGTGGCTTGTTCATTAAAGCAGTCATCAGAGAAAATTTCCTCTTTCCTAAGCACAAAAATGCAAAGAGTCATTGTGAAATCAGCAAACTACAGTAATCAACTATGTCTAGTATTTTCCTGACATTATCAACCACATAATGAGACAGGACTTGTGGTTTACATAGTCCAAATCAGCTATCATTTCTCCACTATCCAGATTTAAACCATAAATTAGCAGCCCAGTCACTATGACAGGCTTTACCCATCATCATTTGCATCCAATCAGTTAATGACTGGCAGCTGTCTACAGGACCCATTACTGAAGGCAGCAGCTTTAATGTATAATGCTTCAGGAGGCTTAAAATCATATTCTGGTAAAACACGTGGTAGACTGAAGTACTCCAAAATTTGCAAAGGTTTTCAAAGGGAGAGAAAAAGAAAAAAAAAAAAAAAAAACTAACTCAATGAAATAACTGTAATCTCAGACAACCTAGAATGAACCGGCTTTAAAGGGTTTCTAATCTTCTGCTAGACTCAAATAACATAGCAAACTAAGAAAAATTTACCTTAAGGAAGAAGACTACCAGTCGCATAATTGCTAAGGAAGTAACCGTAGCAGGAATTATTATTAACATGCTATAAATAGAAAAAATAAGGAACCTAAATGTTAAGAATTGTGCCTTGTTATCAAAATGGAAGCATATGCATAGAAGCCAGTCATGGGATCCAAAAACTATCTCCAATTCCAATCCTATCCTTCCTATCATGAAGTATCTCTCAGTTCCTTGTATATCAACAGCGTAGTGTTTTACACTTTCACCTTCTTCAATGCATATACATCTTAGCTCCAAACTGATTATAAACTCTTTACAAAGACTATGATTTTAACATTTATTATTCAGGTATTCATGACTACAGCCTCCTCTTCCCTGATAGGCAAGAAAACACAAGCAGAGAGGGCTTTTAGCAATAATCACATGAAAGAGGATGGTGGCATGGGCCATGGTGGCAGTCATAGAGGTGGTAAAAATTGTGTCAAGTTCTGAACATGTTTTTGAAGATAGAGTCAAGAGGCTTTGCTGATGAAATGGACATTGGGTTTTAAAGAAAAAGAGGAGGTACAGATGACTCCAAAGTAGTGGTCAGAGCTGCTGGGAAAATGGAGTTGCCATCAACTGAGATGGAAAAGGCTGTAAGTACAGCAGAGGTGCAGGTGGTGGTGGTGGTGGGGGTGGGGTGGGGGTCGTGGGGTGGGGCAGGGTTCAGGAATTTAATTTTTGATGTTTCAAAGGATCTATAATACTTGTCAGTCACATATTCTTTTAACTAATAATACCTGGAGCACCTAAATACTACAACAATTCTTAGGTTTTAGGAAGGAGACATGAAAATATATTGGAAACCAAGGAAATGCTTAATGATGGTTTTACTGAGTGAAGAATCAAGCATTTTAGCCATGTCAGCAAAATAACAATCAAGATCAGAATAACAACTGTCAAAGTTATTGTAGCCAACTATACCTAGAAACGTATCTGGGAAATATCCTGGAGTTTACAAAATGCTTTCTATCCATGCAGGGACAGAGACTGCTATTTATATTCTTGCATCTGAGTACCTGCCCTCTCCTTCTTCAAGGGTAACAACATTTGGCTAGGGAATTGGCTTCTCAGAATTAAGATAACATTTCCTAGCTTTCCTTGCAGCTAGGTGTGGCCAACAGTCTGTGAGCAAACATGACGTGTGCAATTTCCGTGATATGCTCTTAAAGGGAATGGGTACGCCCAGCGTTTGCTCTTTCTCTCTTTTCCTGTGAGCTGTAGTGCTGATGTGATAATAAGCCATCTCAGACCACATGGATATGGTGACACTACCAAGATGGCAAGGGAACAAAAGAAAAGGAGCCTGGATCCTGAAAACCCAAGGCGCCATCTTATCAGCTCTGGGCTACACATACTTAGAATAAAGCTTCTATCTTATTTAAGCCACAATTATCTTGTCTTGGCTCTTTGTTAAAGGAGCTTAACCTGACGCTTAACCAATAAATTCAATAAATCCTCAGAACCACCTTGTGAGGAAATGAACATGCTGTTTTTTTTTTTAATTCCTTACAATGTACCTGTTTTAAATAGCAGGAAAATAAATAGCAACATAGCCTTGCTTTATATACTTCCATCTACCACTGAAGAAAAAGCTGAAAAGCATTCCCTGGGAACCGACTGCAAAATTTTTTACAGCAAGACTTGGGTTCATGCATTCACTAAACTGCACAGCACTCACTACCCACAAAAGTCACATGGAAAAGATTTTTTTCCCACAAGAACTGAGGAATTCTAGGCTATGCACTAGCTCAATTTTAATGTTTCTACTCCCATTAAAATCCCTGCAAATGGGACTCCTGGGTGGCTCAGGGGTAGAGTCCCTGCCTTCGGCTCAGGTTGTGATCCTGGTCTGGGGATCGAGTCCCTTATCCGGCTCCCTAAGAGGAGCCTGCTTCTCCCTCTGTGTTTCTTATGAATGAATGAATGAATGAATGAATGAATGAATGAATGAATAAAATCCCTGCAATCTATTAAGCATCACAAGTACCAACAATCACTTCCTTAGCTTAAAGAAATGAGTAGTTGCTTGCTGAACTTAAGACTTAATTGGTAACTGAATAAAGATAATACCAGAGTTGCTTCTGGAGTATCTAGATCTTTGGATATATATTCCAGTATTCATCAATAAGTTACTCCACACATATGATACAGTTTTACACTTTCAGTATTTGAATATCAGTATAGAAATGTGTTGGAAAAAGTAGAAAAGGCCCAGTTCAAATGTCATGCAAACAACCATAATTTAAAAGATAAATAACTTTAAAAAGAGGGGGGAAAAAAGGCTTACGAAGAACAGGAAGGACTGGTTGGCACTATTTACTGCAATATATTTCTGCACTTAAAAGGTGCACTTGTTTTCAATGAATTGCTCTCTGGCTTCCGTCATCATTTTGCTCCCTAAACCAGGGAAATTACTCCAACAGCTTTGGATTGTTCATCTACGCTTTAAGGGAGACTTTCTATTCTGACCACAGGTTCTGTGATTTGCTAAAATAGTCTTCCGGATCAGAAACAATAGTGAACAGATGATCAATCTCATTGCACAGTGAAGTTTATTTCTCTACATGACTTAAGAACCCTTAAAGTAAGAATGTGCTAACTGCTTGGCAACATCCAGATTCCTGAGGCTGTGCAAAGCTAAGGGTGACTCACACTTGTATGCGCGCACACTGACACCTAGAGACGTGATGCCAAGATTCAGAGGTAGCGTTACCTCCAAATCTTCAAAAGATGTCAGTGGAAGTCTTAGGGTGTTTCCTCAGGCGATGCTTGGAAAGCAGCAAAGCTAAAATATACTCAAGTGGGAGAGCCTAACCCGTATCACAGGATGAAAGAGATGATGTCTGTAACAGTATTTAAAATATAGAAACCAAGCATCTTTCTACATCCTTAGGACAGTCAGTGCTTCTACACAACCGTCCTGGACCGATGTGGTCTGGGACATGGGAAAACACTTCCCTAGTCCAAATAATGGAATTCTGGATCCATCTCTAGACTGGCTGGGCTGCCCACCTCTTTACAAAATGAGACGAAAGGAAGGTACTGGGACTGCAGAAATACTACGCTCCAGGGCAAGCAGCAAAGGTCGGTCGACAAAGGCAGCCCGAGGACACCGTCCAGGCCCAAGCATAAAATAAAATATTACCTTTAGCTGGGTTTACTTTTATCCCTGACCTATACAGCATTTCCTCATTCTGCCAATCTCCGTTCCTGATCGCAGTCTTGAGTCCATAGAAAACAATCAATGTGGCCGTGGCATAAAAAATCAAGCTCTTGAGGAACCGCTTTTGGACCTTGACATAAAGGGCTCTGGCACCCACTGTAACAAGGAGACAGAAGCCCATGCTAGGGATGTACAGCACGCGCTCGGCAATTACAAAGCCCACATAGAAAAACAGGTTGGTGGCAGGAACAAAGGGTATTATTAACAAAGATAAAGAGAGCACAACAATGTTCTCCGTAGAAGGAAGTGGAGATCTCTGCGCTGCATTATTTTTAATGCCATTTTCTGCTTTGGCTGCAAGGCTGGGCTTACTCTCCGAGTTCCGGTACTCCCCGTCCGAATGGCAGCTATGGCCATTGGCATTCTGCTTGCCATTTGTCACCACTTTCCCGTTGTACTCCCGTTCCACGCCTGGGCTCTTCAAGCCATAGTAGGCGAGGAGCAGGAGTCCCGTGTAGAAGGCCACAGTGTGCAGGTTTCTCCAATCGCAGACTGTTCTGAGCAGAGGCACAGCATCCATTGACCAATCAAAACTGAGTGTATCTGGGCATAGCAGCAGCCACAGGTTCTTGGTTGGCAGGTAGAAGAAAGTGAGCGTCCGGGCCAACAGGCTATCCGAGTCGGCAGCTGGGTTGTCAGAGTTGGAAAAGCTTGGTGGCTTGTTTCCCATCCAGTATAAGCGGGCCCCCAAAAGGGAAGTCCCCCAGAAAGTTAACAAACTAATGCTGAGGAAAAGAGACAAGTTCTTCCTCTGAAACCAAAAGAAAAGGGGGAAAAAATTAGCATCATCGTCAACAGAGCATGGGAACACTGAACATTTAGAGAGGCAAAGACATTTCGAGGTGGACAGGTAAAACCACGTAGGCCTTAAACACATGACTGGTTCTGTCTCCTTTCAAGCATGCTTAGGGAAAATTTAACCTGAAGAAGACACTGTGGGGGCCTACTTTGTATGTAACTTTGGATGAGCATTTTTTTTCCTTCTTGTTCTGAAACACCAGTAATCAAAGCTTGACTTTCTGGACCTCTGTAAAAATGGGTTGGATATATACTCCCTCTCGGAACTGGTGTCAGGTTAAATTGAGACCACGATGTAAGAGTACTCAGCACCCTGCATGGGATGGAGTAGACATCTAAAGACTATCTTCTTTCACTTTATGGTTTAGATTCCAGGGGAAACAACGAGTAGGCGTGCCCCCAAATATGGAGCAGGACAGGATCCTGCTTGGCTCAAAGGAGTAACAGCATTTAGCTACTGTCTATGCCAATCCTCATTTCATTGTCTTGAATTCTCTTGCAGATTTGTCAACCAGGCTTTCATCTGCTACCCCATGCTGTCACTGACATCAGTGACATCAAGCATTTAATAACACTCCTGATGAATCCCAAATTTTCCATGCTGATGACAACTTTTTAAAAATAAAATGACTTTGATAATGTGCTTACTTATTTTAAGAGAGAGAAAATTATGAGAGAAAGGCCAAGGGGCATTCCTATTAATGAGAATTTTCTGGAAAATTCTTTCAACCTGAGTAAGAATTTAGTGACCTCAAACAATCTAAGTCCTGAAGAGGGAAGCTGGAGGGGGAAGGATGGATACTATATCCCAACTTTAATGATTCCTTGGTAATGTGATCTCTTAATGCACACAGTGACACTGTATAAAATTATACATTAGTAACACTCAAAATGGTGCTTGAAACCTGAAAGATATGCCAAATGTTTAGTTTTAAAAAAGAAACCCACAAAAAGCAACAAAATCATAAATACATAAATGGGGCTATATCGAACTAATAAAAAACTTCCATACAGCAAAGGAAATCATCAACAAATACAACGAAAAGGCAACCTGCTGAATGAGATTTGCAAATCATGTTTGATAAGGGGTTAATATCTAAAATATATTTTTAGAAAAAACTCCTACAATTCAAAAGAAAAAAAAATCTTATTAAAAGTGGACATAGGATCTGAATAGACATTTTTCCAGGGAAGACAGGAAAAGGTGCTTAATATCATGGTCATCAGGGAAATGTAAACCCAAACCTCAATGAGATACCACCTCACACCTGTTAGAATGGCTATTATCAAAAAGACAAAAAATAACAAGTGTGGGTAGGGATGTGGAGGAAAGGGAACCCTTGTGCACTGTTGGTAGGAACATAAATTGGTGCAGCCACTACAGGAAACAGTGTGGAGTTGCATCAAAAATTAAAAATAGAACTACCATATGATCCTGCAATTCCACTTCTGGTATTTATCTCAAGAAAACAAAATCACTATCTCAAAAAAATATCTGCACCCCTACATTTATTGCAGCATTATTTATTTAAAATAGCCAAGACAAATTATTTATATTTATTGATAGCAGCAAAGATATTTATTTACAACAGTCAAGGCATTATTTTTTTATAATTGCCAAGATAACCTAGGTGTCCATCTACAGATGAAGGATAAAGAAAATGCACTATATATTTGATGGAATATTATTTGCCCATAAAAAAGAAGGAAATCTTGCCATTTCCAACAATGTGGCCATCCACATCCTGAAGACAGTATGATAAATGAAATAAGTCAGCTGGAAAAAGACAAATACTATATGCTCTCACTTATAGGTGGTATCTTAAAAAACAAAACCCCTGAACTCATTAAAAAAAAAACAAAAAAAACGGTTGGTGGTTGCCAGAGACAGGGACTGGAGAGTTGTCAAAATGGGTGAAGTGGTAAAGGTGGTCTAACGTACAAACTTTTAGTTATTGAGATAAAGATGTTCTGCAGATGCCATACCCATCCTGGTGACCGTAGCCGTATTGCATATTTGAAAGTTGCTAAGAGATTAGATCTTAAAAGTTGTTATCACAAGACAAAAATCAAAATTTTCTTTGTGGTGATGGATGTCAAGTACACTTCCTGTACTGATCATTTGCCATATATACATATGCCAAACCATTATGTTATACACCTAAAACTGATAAAATGTTAAATGTCAATTATATCTTCATTTTTAAAAGTCCAAGGAGCAATGTATCTTGAGCATGTAAAACTTCTATTAAAATAGTCTCAGGGCACCCAGATGGCCCAGTCAGTTAAGTGTCTGCCTTCGGCTCTGGTCACAATCCCAGAGTCCTGGGATGGAGCCCCATGTGGGGCTCCCTGCTGAGCGGAGAGTCTGCTTCTCTCTCTCCACCTATGTCTCCCTCTGCTCATGCTTTCTCTCACACTCCCTTCCTCTCAAGTAAATAAATAAAATCTTTTTAAAAAAGTCCCTATGTATTATATGCAATTGCCACTGGATTCTCTTCCTCAGACTCCTCATTCACTTCACCTTTAATTGCTGGAAGCCACAGAACTGGTCATGGACCATCTCTGTTCCATCTTACTATTAACCCAATGATCTTAGCAAGGTCTGTAACTTTTAAAAATATTAATACATGCTAATGACTCCACATTAACCTTCCCTTATCTCCACAATCATTGATTTAATTGCCTAGTGGACATATTCACTTATGCATCTCAATTCAAAATGCCCAAACCTAAAACCTGACTTCATACCCTCCCGACACTAAACACTTCCTCTTCCAATCATCACCACCACAAAAGATGGTAAAACTTTGTAACCAGTTTCCGCTTCCCAGCCTCCCTCCTTCCCTCCACATTCCAACCATTACCAACTCCTCTCATTTTCACTTCAGAATATATGCCAAATTGGTCCATTTCTCGCCATCTATTCCTTCATCACTTGAGTCCAAAATGCCCACACTTGGATTATCACAATAGTCTCCTCCTCACTGGCGACCCAGTCCTTTTAAAGACAGATTACATTATTCCTAACTTTCAAAATCATTAACGGGATCTTACTCTAAGGTCTTGGAAGTTCTCACCTCTACAAAGAAGATTCTAATTAGAGGGTTCTCTCTCTCTCTCTCTCTCTCTCTCTCTCTCTCTGTGCGTGTGTGTTTAAGAAAGAGAGAGATGTCTTAATTTTACATTTTTTACATTTCAAAATTATTTTGAAAACTATTTTAAATATTTAAAGAGGGGGTACTTCTGGGTACAAAAGAAATGAAGTAAAGAGGAGGAGGTTAAAAATTCAAAATAAAGAAAATGAGAAAAGCAAACAGATGGAAACTGTGACAATTTTAAGACTGTTAATATCAGATCACAGTAATGCTAAATTCACAGAATTAACTGCCTCAGTGTTTTAAAACATCTGTGACAGACTTCTACTCAAAAGTATTTCACATAAGGCTGTACGGGATTTTTAGTGGTAGGGGAGTAGTATGTTCAGTCATCACCAATTTCTCACTTTCAGGTCTTTTCTGGAAAAATAAAATGGTTCAGAATCGATATCATCTAAAAATACTTTTTTTGCAAACCATTCTTTTGCTCCTCTGAAATTCTACCCAGCAAAAATCTTAAAATGTATTGATTTTAGAAAAAAACCCACAAAACACAAAACTGCATATTAGAAGCTGTAATAACTTGATAGGCCAATCACAAAACTGAGTATTCTTTGATTACACAAGAGAGAAACATGTCATTTGGCAAGGATAAAAGAAATAAGATACCATGGAAGAAGAAGACTGATCTTGAAAAAACAATTCAAGGTTACTATTTGTACCAAAAGTCCATTTTGCAACTAAGTATACAAAGTATAACATTCTATTCCAATGTCTTCTGGTGGGGGTGAGAGAAGGGAGAGGCATTACAAAAACTCCCCTTCATCAGTCAAGAAGAAAAGCAAAGGAGTAAGAGAACCACATGAGGAAGGAAGTGTAATCAGGATTCTTTGCAAGTCATGAAACTCCAGAAGAAGTTAGCCTTAATCATTGCATAATTCCATTTTATTCTCAAAACAGAAGTAGAAGACAAAATGCCTTGTCAATTTTTAACAAAGCATCTTTACTAGTTAAATTTTAGTAGATCAAAATAAAATGTAAGATTCAAGATGTGATAAAAATGATTGATTTTATCATCCTCAAAGGATATTTAAAAATAATAAACTACAAAATAAAGATTAATGAAAACTATCCAGTGATAAAATCTAAGAAGTCCAAATGTGGAGCAAATGACAACAAAGAAAAAGCAGAATAATCAAATGCTGACATTAATTTACAAGTTACTTTATATTTTAAAGCATTTTCATATACAGCTCCCATTTAAACAACTAAGATCAAGAGACACCAAAGTTCTGAAGTAAGATGCTCTCATACACTCATTCTAACTTCAAGGTAAGGTCTATGAGGGCTAAATAAATAAATGGCACCATTAAAGGAAAACTCAACAAACAGGTAAAAGAAAATTGGTATTAAAATGTTTGAAGTGGAAAAGCTTCTAAGGCCTCAAGATCGGCTACCACTTTTTACATATTTTATGATTTCTTTGAAATCCTAAGTTTCAAATCTCTTTAATGCCTTCTCACAAAATTTGTTAAAAATGGGTCACCTAGAAAATGGGATTCTAATCAAACCAAATCTCTCTTCTAACTTCATTCATTGCTTCTGTGGTAAGAGCCTTAAAAATAAGACAAAAGAAAAGAAAGCATGGGAAGGCTTTATTTGTTAATCACATTCCCTATGCACTGACTTGTGGATTAAATCAAATGAACACATTTTTATTGAGTTACACCTAGGAGTCAAGTCATATCATTAGCCTCAGCATTCTGCTGTTGTTGTTGTTCTTGGCGCAGTGTATCAAATTGATTCAACACAGGTATTTGTAAGATGAAGCAGGAGAGTTCTGAAGAATTATCAC